ACTTAACCACTGATCTCTAGTCGTGTCCTCTTTTGGAAGGCCAAACTAAGTAGTTTCGCTTTCACAGCGAAACACAGCGTCACACACGGCGGGCTAGAGTGAGCGGAGGTCAGAGGCCTAGAGTGAGCAGGGGCCGGCTTGAGTGAGTGGAGGCGGGCGGGCTTGCGGCAACCACATGTGACGACCCCGGGCTTCATAAGCATGACGAAGCTGATATCGTCCTCTTTTGGAAGGCCAAACAAAGTAGTTTTGCTTTCACAACGAAACACACAGTGCCTTCACGACATGGCGGCAGCAGCAACAACAATACTACAGTGAGAATAAAAGTTACGCCTTTTTTCTTTGCGTGAACATTTGGGTGGCGTTATGCAAAGCTTCCCACATTGTGACGTAGACATGTGGGGGCGTGTTAAAGCGAGCCGTTTTAGGTAGGAGTGGTTGACTCTTAACTTTTATAAAGAATATTTCTTTGGATTTGAGACTTTAGTCTTTGCAACTTTACAGATCTTCTTTATGCACCAAGAGCTTGTAACACTCCAAAGAGAAAGGAAAAATTGAAATCGCATCATATGACCCCTTTAAAAACCGCTGCTTTAGAACATTGATTTTGAAACATGTGAATCCATTAGAATCGTTAGAAGACAGAATCGCAATTCATATATAGAATAGATTAGATTTTTATGTGCACCCCTAGTTTTCTCTTCCTCTTCTCTAAAGCAGCGCAGCATGGCCTTTCCCCCTTTGCTACCTTTTCCTGAGGGCGGGGTTTATCTGGGTTTGTGATGTCACGAACCCGGGAAGTAACTTGTTGTAGTCCCTACCAGCCGTTTTTGTAGGCATTAAACTACCAGAATTTTAAAAGACGATATCTCCATTTGCATTGAACTTTCAGCTTCGTAACCTTGCAGATATTGTTTATGCTCAAACAGTAACATTACACACTAACTAACGTTAAAAAAGTGAAATCGCAATGAGCCACCCCTTTAATGTCATTACATATGAATCAGTAGGTAAATTAAGTGTGAATAGTAACTAAAGTGTTAATAGTGGTACTTAACATTCACTTACACTAATGTAATCAGTTGCAGTTGCAACAAAGCCCTTAAGTTAAGAAATTGTCTCCAGGCTACATATGTAACCATGGTTCCCGAAGGGAATGAGACGCTGCGTTGGAAAACGCTATGGGAACGCCTTCAGCGTGACCACGCTTAGAGTCACATGTGTAATCAGTCCAATGGAAGGGTGAGACGTCATAGGCGGGTGACGTAGCGACCAGGAAGCTATAAAAGCACGTGAGGTGGAACCAGAATCAGCTTCTAGAAATGAAGCAAGCGCTTGCAGGGATGCCGGAAGTATGGCCCTGAGACGCAGCATCTCGTTCCCTTCGGGGAAACATGGTTACATACGTAACCTGGAGTTGTTCCCCTTCAGGAACTCGAGCTGCGTTGGAAAACGCTATGGGAATGAGTATGCCCACACCGCCAGACTTGCACATCCCTGCCTAGTGTGGAAGAGAACAGCTAGGACGAGAGAACAGAAGAGCCAGGAGTGGCTCGCATATCTAGGTCATAGAACCTGACAAACGTGAGGGGCGTGGACCATCCCGCTGTGTTGCAGATGTCCTGCATGGACACACCTGCAAAGAAGGCCTTGGAGGCCGCCATACCTCGGGTCGAGTGAGCCTTGACCCCCAATGGCAAGGGGAGATCAGAGTACTCATAAGCAGTAGAAATAGCATCGACCCGGCTGAGGGTCTGTTTAGTAGCAGGAAGACCTCTATTAGGGGGACCATAGCACACAAGCAGTTGGTCCGCCTTCCTCCACAGGGCAGCTCTGTGGACTGTTCCTGTGGCTCAGTGGTAGAGCATTGTGTTAGCAGTACAAAAGGTTGTGGGTTCAATTCCCAGGGAACACACTTACTGGTAAAAAAAAAATTTATAGCCTGAATGCACTGTAAGTCGCTTTGGATAAAAGCGTCTGCTAAATGCATAAATTAAATTAATTAAATTAAATTATTATTATAAATGATATGTGCTCGCACTGGGCACATACAGTTAAGCTTCTGCTGGTCGGGTTCACTGAAGGAAGGAGGACAGAAGGCCTGAAGTACGATAGGCTGTGGCATGACAGAGGGGACTTTAGGAACATAACCTGGTCAAAGGTAAAGAAAAGCCTTGGCCAAGCCAGGCGCAAAGTCTGGTAGGAAGGGGCCACAGAGAGGGCCTGCAGATCCCCAACTCTCTTTAAAGAAGATATAGCCAGAAGAAACAGTTTTAATCGAGAGAAGGCGATCAGAAATCTCTTCAATAGGCTCAAAAGGAGGCTTTCATGAGATTGTACCGGGGCCTCAGCCTCAGCGGACCGTGGAGGAAATGTGTAACTAGGGGGTGTCTGCCCACTGACTGGCCACCGAGAGGGGCGTGGTAAGCCACAATGGGCGCCACGTAGACCTTCAGGGTGGAGTGGGATAACCCTGCGGAGAAACGGGCCTGCAGGAACTCCAGCACTGTACCAACCGGGCAGTTAACTGGGTTGAGCTGGTGATCTCCGCACCAAGAAGTGAAAAGTTTCCACTTCAAGGCATACAGTTTCTTCGTAGAGGGAGCTCTAGATTGGAGGATGGTCTCAACAACCTTGGCTGAGAGACCGGAAGCTAGGAGTTTTGCCCCCTTCGAGGCCACACCCATAACTTCCACAGCTCCGGGCGGGGGGTGGAGAATCGTACCCTCCACCTGAGAGAGGAGATTCCTCCTGACGGAAATCTCCCATGGAGAGCCGTCAAGAAGGGAAATCAGGTCCGAGAACCATACTCGGCCCGGCCAGAACGGGGCTACTAGCAGCAGACGGACCCCGTCCCGGCACACTCTCTCCAGAACTCCCGGGAGCAGAGAAATCAGGGGAAAGGTGTACAGACGAAGCCTCGGCAAAGTCTGTACCATGGCATTCAGCCCCAGTGGAGCCGGATGAGTCAGAGAGTACCAGAGGGGACAGTGCGATGTCATACAGTCGCAAACAGGTCCACCTGAGCCTGGCCAAAAATTCTCCAAATCTGCTTCACCATCTTGAGATGAAGCCTCCATTCCCTGGGCTTCGGCCCCTGCCTCGGCAGGATGTCTGCTCCCATATTTAAATGACCAGGGATGTGCACTGCTCTCAACAAAAGGAGTTTGCCCTGGGACCACACAAGGATCTGGCGTGCCAGCTTGTACAAGTGGAGCGAATGCAGACCTCCCTGGTGGTTGATATAAGAGATACCCCCAACACCAAAGATGCGCACCAACACATGACGAACTCTTAGGTCCGGGAGGAAGTGCTTCAAAGCTCAAAACACGGCCAGCATCTCCAGGCAGTTGATGTGCCACGTGAGATGGTGACCGCTCCACAGACCATGGGCAGGGTGGCCACTCATGACCGCACCCCAACCGGTGAGGGAAGTGTCCGTCGCTAGCGTTAAGCAGCGACAAGGAGCTCCCAGCACCGGGCCCTGAGACAAGAACTAAGGCTTCCTCCACATGTCCAAGGCACGTAGGCATCGTCGCGTGACCTTGATCATGCGAAGCGGGCTTCCCCTCGGGGAGAACCGCTTGGTCTTGAGCCACCACTGTAGGGGTCTCATGTACAGCAGGCCAACAGGTATCACGTTGGACGCAGCTGCCATCAAACCCAGCAGTTTCTGAAACTGCTTGACAGTGAGTGACCGGCCTTCTCTGACTCTCGCGACTGCAGTGAGGATCGACTCGATCCGAGCAGGAGACAACCGTGCCTGCATCGTGGTTGAATCCCACACCACGCCCAGATAGGTGGTTCTCTGTAATGGAGAAAGCACACTCTTCTTGGCGTTTAGTCTTAACCCCAGCTCTTTCATGTTAGCGAAAACCGCCAAATGTTCTGATTGAGCCAAAATCAACCAATCGTCGATGTAACTCAGTATGCGGATGCCCTGGAGTCGCAGGGGAGCCAGAGCAGCATCCACACACTTCGTGAAAGTGCGGGGTGAGAGTGCAAGGCCGAAAGGAAGAATCCGATATTGATAAGCTTCGCCCCTGAAAGCAAACCTCAGGAACTTCCTGTGATGAGGAAGGATGTAAACATGGAAGTACGCATCTTTTAGATCTATCATGACAAACCAGTCCTCGGACCTGATATGAGACACGACTTGATAGTGAGCATCCTGAACTTCAGTCGCATGACTGAGCGGTTCAACTGACGCAGATCTAAAATGGGATGCAACCCTCCATCCCTCTTCGGAACAATGAAGTACCGGCTGTAGAACCCGGATTCTCTGTCGTGAGGAGGGATCACCTTGATGGCCTCCTTCCTCAAGAGAGTGTTCACTTCTTGTTATAATACCAGAGCCTGCTCAGGGCCCACGAGTGTGGGAAAGACCCCGATGAAAGGGAGCGGAGGAGCGCCGAACTGAATGCGATAGCCTTTTTCTACAGTATGCAGAACCCAACGAGACACATTTGGCAGTAGCTTCCACACTGCTAAATAGTCTACTAAGGGAACCAGTCTCTCGAGACTGGCCTCCGGTGTACTTGTAGCTGCTAATTCGGTGCCCTGAAGCGGAGGACTGGCAGGAGACGGCCGAATAGCTGCTCTGGAGACCCCCGAAGGGGTAGCGAACCCCTCAGCTCTGCTACATTTCCGGGCGAAAAAGACTGAGGGAAGCGCTCGCTGGAGACCGCTGCGCCCTGAAGCACCATTGGTGGCAGGGTTGGCAGAAAGATCTCCGAAGGGCACGGAGGAGAGACGGACACCGTATGATGCGGTGCACCCCGCTCGTCCCCAGTAGGGGCCGCCCCCTCAAAGGTCTTGAACCTCTCATGTCAGGGCCTTTTGTTCGAGGACTTCCCCTGAAAAGCACGACCCTCAGATCGGGCTTCGACTTCGAAGTCCCCAACCTAGAGCCCCGCTGAACTCGGAGCGCGAGAAGCGACGCTCTGTTTTTGTGCCTTGCGCTATGAGGAAGGAGGTACATGGCGAGGGCTGCTCCCGCCCAGCAGCCCCCAGATCAAGAGAGTGGCGAGGGAGGAACCGCTGGAACGCCGCCGCCTGTTTACGACCCTCCTGGTACCTGTCGACGACTGAATTGACGGCGTCGCCGAACAGGCCAGAAGGCGCAAGTGGGGCGTCTATGAGGAAGACCCTGTCCTTCTCTTTAATGTCGGACAGGGTCAACCAGAGATGCTTCTCCGCTGCCACTAGAGCTGCCATAGACCGCCCAATGGCACGGGCGGTCTCCTTGGTGGCGCGGAGAGACAAATCAGCGGTTATGCATAGTTCAGAGATATCATCCGATTTTACTTCCTCGCCTTCATCTAACTCCTTTAGCAGGTCGGCTTGGTACGCCTGTAACACCACCATGGTGTGCAGACACACCAGCCTGACTTGCAGCCGTATACCCCTTGCCCATCAAGTTAGATGTAGTACGTAATGGCTTGGAGGGCAATGCCGGAAACCTTTAAGGACGATGCCGCACCAGGGGACAGATAGCTCGCGAGCGTCTGTTCCACCTGGGGCATCGCCTAATAGCCGTGGTCACAAACCCCCGCCACATTTGCATACTGTGCTGAGAGAGGGGGCAAATCTTCATCTACGCCCTCCACATCAACCTCCTCGGAGGAAGATAGGCGAAGCTTCAAGCCCGTTCCCCAGGGGGGAAGAAACCGCGGAACGGGGTTCCGATCCCAGAGATGCCGGCACCGGATCTGGCGGGTGAGGAAGGAGATGGGGACTTGACCGTCTCCATTCCCTCCGCCAAATCCAATTGCGAACCTCACGAATGCAGCCGCCAGACATCTCAGGAGAGTGAACTGCCTGTCAGAAATCATAGCACGTCAGCTGTCTTAACCGCGGCTTGTGTACTGCATCATCACTGTGTCCATCACGTGACTCTGTTGCCCTTTCGGGCTTGAACTGATAGTAAAACTAACAACATTATTAACTGTCTTGATATTTACTTTGAAAGCTGACGCTCGCGATTATGGTAAGGGGCGTTACATTTCCGACGCGTACTTGTGGTGTTCGGCCAATCACAATGCACTGGGTCAGCTGGCCAATCAGAGCAGACTGCGCTTGTCAAAGGAGGGGGCTTTGTTGAAAACGACGTGTTTGAGAGAGGCGGGGCATAGAGGACCTACAATAATATACAGTATTTGAAAAATAATGTGTTTTTTGAACATTAAAGCATGTCAACATATTCTGTTACACCAAATACACAAACTAATGATCTTTAAAATAGCATCATATGACCCCTTTAAAATTTATGAATGGGGTTAAACTTATCGATTTTGTTGGGAGTGTAAGGTTCCACTTGAGGTACTATCAAGGTGATCTAAGGTTATCATTAAGTATTTCCCCTTAATCACTCAAGTGTTCCCTTAAAATCTGTTATGCATTGCAGCAAAGTCCTAATAACCATTTCACCATAACAAAAAAAAAAGCTCTCTTAAGTCATCTGCTGAACTCAAGCACAGGGTCATTTTACTGATCAAAATAAGGTATTCTAAATAAAAAGTTATGCTTTGAAGCAATGTGCATTGAGAGGAGTGCTATACAAATAATAATAATAAAAAAAAAATAAACAACTACATTTTCATATATATATTTTATCACTTCCACAATTATCTCATGCAAGGCTTTCGTCTCGTGACTGATGGATAGTGGCAGGCTTGGATGTTTTCTTCTTTTTCCATCTAATAAAAGAATGTCTCTTTTGTCTTTGGTGTGGTTTGGTTTACATTTTCTTGTTTCCAATTCTGTTAAGCTGGTTAGCTCACAGGATGTTGTTTGCCTAGATCTCTTTAATAATCTCCATAACAGATTTTGTGGTTTAGCCGTTTTTGTAGTAAAGATGAAACCTATTTAAAAGTCAATGGTCTGTTATGTTCTGTTTGTTGTGGGAGATTTTATTACTAAAGAAACCGGGTCTCCATTGCCATGTTCTGCCATAAACCTAAATCTAAGATGTATAAACACTCAGGTAAGTCTGACAGTTAAGACATTTGTTGTAACTCTCTTAAAGAAAGCCCTTGCCTCAGGGATTTTATCCCCCTCAGGGAGACCCTAAAGTCAAACCACTTAAGGGTTTTCATGCAACCGGGCCATGATTATTATTTGTAACAATACTATTCAGTCAATTTTACCTCTTTGTCAGCAAAGTGCACTGGAAAATCATGTTTGTCTTGAGTTAGCAACACTAGCCAAGAGGGGCGGAGCTTAGTGACAGGTCATTTCTGAAATACAGTTCTCCACTTGTTTTGAATGCACAACCTATATAAGAAATGCTTATAACCTGCACAAAAGAAATGAGTACTTATCATCACACACAACTAAATAAACAGGTGTTTTCTGTAATAGACTTTATTATATTGTCTATTTTTACAATTTATTGTCCCAAAGGTCTTTCTCAGGTGAATCTCTGGCTGCTACTTTGGTTAAGATGGTGGCTTTAGTATGTTTCTTCATCACTTTTTGCAGTCTCTGGATGTGAGAGAGACAGAGGTGGGGGCCCCGGCAGTAATATGTTCTGGGGATATGTTCTTATCGTCTTTCAGTTGGAGTGGAATAATGAAAAAGAGAACTTTGTTTTTAATTAAAGCGGGACCTTTGGTCATGATTAAGGGGTTAGTGATTAATCACCTCACTGGCCCACTGAAGAGGCTGTGCAGGTCGGCCCAAAGCCTGTGAACAGGAATGATTTGCCCATGAGCCCTCCAGAGATAGGCCCTTGTTTAGACTGCGGCTCGGCGGGACCCTTCGATGCTGTTTTACATACAGATATGAACCGGTATGATATTTTTAGAGTGGATTTCTGCAATTGAAAGGTCAGCAGTGTAATATGAGTGTGTTGGATGCAGTCACACACAGGACCGCTTTGTGGGAGTGGTAATATATCATGGTGAGTTTAGTGGCAAAGCAAAACAGCTGACTCATTTTAACAGCTGATTTTATGTTCAAGAGTAATGTCTGCATTTGAAACCATAAGCTTGATCTGCCTAATACTGATTTTCCATAATATATCTTCGCAATACTTTAAGAAATATTCTAGATTCAGTACGAGCTCAGTCGACAGCATGATCTTGATTGCTAAAGAAATTAATTTTCACTTGTCTCTCTTTTTCTCTAAAAATAAAAAAAAATCAAGATTACAGTGAGGTGAATTGAAATGGAAGTGAACAGAGCCAATTTCTAAACATTAAAATATTCACTGTTTCAATAAAATAGCCACAAGACATAAACATGTTTTGATAAACGTGATTTTTTTTTGTGTGAAAAGTTCATCATCTAAGCTTTTTTAGTGAAATTATGTGCAATTTGACAACTTTCCTGCCATGGCAAGCCATAAAATGACTGTAAAAAATGATTTAAATAACAATTCAAATAATATATATTTTTAACAAAATAATTACATTTAAGTGCTTTAAAGTAAAAGTAAAAGGCCCCTTTTACTTTCATTATAAGTGCCCATAACCATGATATATATATACATTTTCTTTTTTTTAAGGTGCACTAAGCGATTTTTGCCAAACAATGTTGATATTTGAAAGCACCGAAACAAACACGCCCATACCCCAACAGGACCTCGCCCCTATTTTGATAACTCCGCCCCACACATACGTACACAACCCTGGCAGCGACAATGGCGGAATCTGCTATGCCTGCCAGCCGCAGCATATTCAAACAAAAGCCAACACCGAATGTGTGAAAAAGCAAAATCAATGTAACTCACCTATTTTATTTCCTCCGAAATCTTCCTCTTTTTTTGATTTTTTTTTTATCTCCCATCTCTCGCCATCTATAGTCGATTTGCTAATATCCGTCCTGTGCACTCACTGAGCGCTCTCTTCTCCCTTTCATTACTAGACACGCCCCTTACTGCTGATTGGCTGCAAGTGTGTTTAGGGACTCGGTCTGACAATGTGGTCAAAAGCGTTTTTCAAATATTTCTTAATGCACCTTTAAAGAAAATGAGGGAGGAGTCAATTTCAACATTATGCCATAAATGCTCTAAATTTACCTTAACTTTTAATGAACCCTTAATATTAATTTAAGGCCAACTAAAATGCATTCGCACGCGCCAGAGATGTTCACAAGGCTTTAATTTGGAGTGCGAGTCAAGTGTGAAGTCTTTAACCAGTAGTCTGAGTCAAGTCTGAAGTCTTTATCGCTGGAGTCTGAGTCAAGTCTTGAGTCTTTGGTCACGAGTCCGAGTCGAGTCTCAAGTCATTTAATGGCTGGCTAAAAAAATCAAATTCAGAAGCCTCATGTATTGAAATCTTCCTATTTACGAAGTTGTTTTATCGGCTATAGACAACATATGTATTCTATGATCTGCTTTGTAAAAAGCAAAATCAATGTAACTCACCTATTTTATTTCCTCCGAAATCTTCCTCTTTTTTTGATTTTTTTTTTATCTCCCATCTCTCGCCATCTATAGTCGATTTGCTAATATCCGTCCTGTGCACTCACTGAGCGCTCTCTTCTCCCTTTCATTACTAGACACGCCCCTTACTGCTGATTGGCTGCAAGTGTGTTTAGGGACTCGGTCTGACAATGTGGTCAAAAGCGTTTTTCAAATATTTCTTAATGCACCTTTAAAGAAAATGAGGGAGGAGTCAATTTCAACATTATGCCATAAATGCTCTAAATTTACCTTAACTTTTAATGAACCCTTAATATTAATTTAAGGCCAACTAAAATGCATTCGCACGCGCCAGAGATGTTCACAAGGCTTTAATTTGGAGTGCGAGTCAAGTGTGAAGTCTTTAACCAGTAGTCTGAGTCAAGTCTGAAGTCTTTATCGCTGGAGTCTGAGTCAAGTCTTGAGTCTTTGGTCACGAGTCCGAGTCGAGTCTCAAGTCATTTAATGGCTGGCTAAAAAAATCAAATTCAGAAGCCTCATGTATTGAAATCTTCCTATTTACGAAGTTGTTTTATCGGCTATAGACAACATATGTATTCTATGATCTGCTTTGTAAAAAAAAAAAAAGGACGTGTTAAGATGTACATCCAGCCTGTTATTTATAGGCTATCTTTTAAAGGGGTCATATGATGTTGCTAAAAAGAACATTATTTTGTGTATTTGGTGTAATGAAATGTGTTTATGCGGCGGAAATGTTACGGCCCTAACCATACTGTGTTTCCATGTGTCCTGGCGTGACGAGACAAAACCAATAAAACCCATTCCAACTAGGCATTTGTTGCATCCAGTGGGGACATAATTACTGATTATAATGACTTATACTGTGTTTTTACGCTTTGCGTTGCGTATTGTGCCACATAAACATAAAACCTTGTCTGCATTTGTGATCGGAGAAATTACAAACAACAAGCGCTACTCTACACTGCTCAAACTCGCGTTTGAATCATCAATGGCAAATTCTTTAAATATAAAAAAAACTTACTTACAGGCTGTGAGTCAGAAGTGCCAGACTGTCCTTGCAAAGTTGGAACTGCCCCACTTTATAGAAACATTATGTCCTCTTTTGTAAGGCCAAACAAAGTAGTTTCGCTTTCACTACGAAACACTCAGCAGCTTGAGTGAGCGGCGCCCGGCGGATTCGACGAAGGAGGCTTGCGGCAACCACATGTGACGATTACATTTTCTTTTTTTTAAGGTGCACTAAGCGATTTTTGCCAAACAATGTTGATATTTGAAAGCACCGAAACAAACACGCCCATACCCCAACAGGACCTCGCCCCTATTTTGATAACTCCGCCCCACACATACGTACACAACCCTGGCAGCGACAATGGCGGAATCTGCTATGCCTGCCAGCCGCAGCATATTCAAACAAAAGCCAACACCGAATGTGTGAAAAAGCAAAATCAATGTAACTCACCTATTTTATTTCCTCCGAAATCTTCCTCTTTTTTTGATTTTTTTTTATCTCCCATCTCTCGCCATCTATAGTCGATTTGCTAATATCCGTCCTGTGCACTCACTGAGCGCTCTCTTCTCCCTTTCATTACTAGACACGCCCCTTACTGCTGATTGGCTGCAAGTGTGTTTAGGGACTCGGTCTGACAATGTGGTCAAAAGCGTTTTTCAAATATTTCTTAATGCACCTTTAAAGAAAATGAGGGAGGAGTCAATTTCAACATTATGCCATAAATGCTCTAAATTTACCTTAACTTTTAATGAACCCTTAATATTAATTTAAGGCCAACTAAAATGCATTCGCACGCGCCAGAGATGTTCACAAGGCTTTAATTTGGAGTGCGAGTCAAGTGTGAAGTCTTTAACCAGTAGTCTGAGTCAAGTCTGAAGTCTTTATCGCTGGAGTCTGAGTCAAGTCTTGAGTCTTTGGTCACGAGTCCGAGTCGAGTCTCAAGTCATTTAATGGCTGGCTAAAAAAATCAAATTCAGAAGCCTCATGTATTGAAATCTTCCTATTTACGAAGTTGTTTTATCGGCTATAGACAACATATGTATTCTATGATCTGCTTTGTAAAAAAAAAAAAAGGACGTGTTAAGATGTACATCCAGCCTGTTATTTATAGGCTATCTTTTAAAGGGGTCATATGATGTTGCTAAAAAGAACATTATTTTGTGTATTTGGTGTAATGAAATGTGTTTATGCGGCGGAAATGTTACGGCCCTAACCATACTGTGTTTCCATGTGTCCTGGCGTGACGAGACAAAACCAATAAAACCCATTCCAACTAGGCATTTGTTGCATCCAGTGGGGACATAATTACTGATTATAATGACTTATACTGTGTTTTTACGCTTTGCGTTGCGTATTGTGCCACATAAACATAAAACCTTGTCTGCATTTGTGATCGGAGAAATTACAAACAACAAGCGCTACTCTACACTGCTCAAACTCGCGTTTGAATCAGGCAAATTCTTTAAATATAAAAAACTTACTTACAGGCTGTGAGTCAGAAGTGCCAGACTGTCCTTGCAAAGTTGGAACTGCCCCACTTTATAGAAACATTATGTCCTCTTTTGTAAGGCCAAACAAAGTAGTTTCGCTTTCACTACGAAACACTCAGCAGCTTGAGTGAGCGGCGCCCGGCGGATTCGACGAAGGAGGCTTGCGGCAACCACATGTGACGATCCCGGGCTGGACTCCGCTTCGTCCACGGTGAAAGCCGATCCGGCGATCCACAGCGCGAAGTTGATGTACTTCATCAGCGACCAGCACGGATCAGCTCTAGGCATGACGAAGCGGATATCGTCCTCTTTTGGAAGGCCAAACAAAGTAGTTTCGCTTTCACAACGAAGCTCGCAGCGCCTTCACGACATGGCGGCGGTGGCAACAATAATACAGTGAGAATAAAAGTTACGCCGCCTTTCTTTGCATGAACATTTGGGCGGCGTTATGCAAATCTTCCCACACAGTGACGTAGACATGTGGGGGCGTGTTAGAACGAGGCGTTTTAGGAGGGCGTGGACAAGTCTTAACTTTTATAAAGAATATCTCTTTGGATTTGAGACTTTAGTCTTTACAACTTTACAGATCTTCTTTATGCACCAAGAGCTTGTAACACTCCAAAGAGAAAGGAAAAATTGAAATCGCATCATATGACCCCTTTAAATCCATTACCATGTTCAAAACTGTTTTTCTGTAATGAAATTTTATAATAAGATCTACCATGACACACAAGGAAATATGGGAAACAGATATTACAAAACCATACAAATAAAGTATTTCTTTATTTTATAAGTCAGGGGTATTCAGTTAAGGTTCTAAGGCGTGTCCTCTATATTTTCTTCCAAGCAGAGGTCCAAACAAAAAAACAAAACAATTTTTACATGTATTGACATTTTTACATTTAGACATGTGAGGCCATGTGACAGAAAAAATACTGTTTCTGTTCAGGGTTTTCCTCCTGAAATCTATACTATTTTAATATTTTAGCCTACTTAAAGGATTATCTAAAAACAATGTAGCTACAATAATCAAAACGTTCTCATCTTGAGCAGAAAAGAAAGATAACTAGCAATTTAAAAATTTAAGTAATATCCTAGCCATATAACAACAATTTTCCCAATTATAATTACATGATTCTTTTGAAATGTCCTTAGCCTACAGATTAATAATGCTAAATGTAGATCATAAACGTCTTGTCACATCTGGTTTGAACAGAGTCATAGGTTATAGATAGATAAATAGTATGAAAAATAACTATATTTGCACCATTGTTGTTTTCTGCTGTATTTTGTTTTTTCTGTTGTTGTTAAAATAACCGCGTCATCCGCAGCTCTAAACTTGGCGCCGGCGCGCGTCCAGAGAGTAGGGATGGGCGATACCACTTATTTTGTTTTCGACACGATACTGATATTTTTCAAGGCAGTATCATCGATATCGATACCGATTCGATACTTCCGCACTAAACTTTTAAATGATGAAATGTATTAAATTACTAAGAGTAAAATGGGTAATAATAAGCACTTAACTTTGTTTAAAACGATTTTTAACATTCAATATGCCTTAATTGTAACTTATTAGGTTATATTTTTGTTTACACATGGTTCAGATATGTTTTTTGTTTACACATGATTCAAATCTATAAATACTACAGTTGAACTATGGTCACTTTAGTAAAACCATGGTTCATTTTCATAAGGGACTGCCAGTGACAGGCTGTTGCATGCATAAAATGCAACCTTTTTATTCTGACAGTGTATGATTTCTATTAACATTACAGAATAGAACATGATCAATATTATATTTCAGCGTTCAATTTAAATAACTGTAATTGCACAAACTATGTAGGCTACAATTTCAGTTTGTTTATTGTGAAATAACTGTCCTTCTGTCCTCTGATAAGCATTGTTCAGGGCTGCCGTTACCAAAAGCTTTAATGCTTTCTTATGATACTTTTGGGAAAAGCAGCCCTGTTTGAATGCACTGTCAGCAGTGAGTGAACACTCTCTGTGATCGATTGGTTCTGTCTTGCAACATTTGCATGTTCCGATGAGCAGGAAAATAGTTCTATCCTACACAATTACTCGCTAACAAAGGTTATTCGCCCAATTCAATGCATATTGCATGCATTATATTTTTGTTAAATTAACAAAATCACTGGTAAATAAAACACACCTTAGTATCGATATTTTTAGTTTGAGTATCAATACTTTCGATACTCGCGTCAGTATCGATACGCCCATCCCTACCGGAGAGAGAGAGAAAGCGCACAGAGCTGAAAGGGCTTGACTAAAGCGCGTTTGGCTTTTGATAAAAATACAAAAGGATATAGCATTGAAAGATATTTACCATAAACGACCCTGAGCGCTTATGTGATCCGCTCCGCTGTTTTGATGCGCTGTTCACTTAAAATGGTGCTGTGTTACAGCTCAAGGTCCGGATGGATGCCGGGGTGCGAATGCGGTCCGCCTTTTGAATATCAGTTATATAAGTATTTAAGTATAAAAGACTCGAGTAGCTTTTAAAATTTCCTCGAGTCGAGTCAAGTCTGAAATCATTTCAGGTCGAGTCTGAGTCAAGTCTGGAGTCTATAAAAATGCGACTCGAGTCCGAGTCACTAACTCGAGTGCCCATCTCTGGCATACGCACACACACACACACACACACACAAAGCAGCAAGATTCACTCTAATCTTAGATCTCACTAATGAGCCAGGCCCCAAACTAAGCTAATTCGTAATCCTGAATGTATAATGGCTTTGCGATGAGCTTAAATGAGCATATCATGTCCTTGACGTGGCCTTGGCATTCAGCAGAACAGGAAAAAGAGGAATAGAAGGAATCATGATTTTCACAAGTGCTTATTTCGCAGGCGGCTGCATTTCTCTTTCATCTTAAGCTTATTTTCTCACTTGCTCCCTCTCTCTCTCTGCTGTCCTTCTCCTATTCGCGCATTTGTCAACAACCAGCAAAAAACGGAGGCACAAACATCCAAGCTTATTTACCATAATCTGATTGTTAACTGGCGGGTATTTGAAGTATGCAGCTGCCCCCCTCTGAAGGCAAGATCGTATCACAGTAGTAAATATCACAGAGACACAATCCCTTTACCACTCCACAGTTACTCACCTGAGACTGTGGGCTCCTTGATTGTAAAGTCATGTGCTGCATACTAAACGCAAACTAACAAACGAACAAAAGATCCCTCCACCTTCACCACGGAGGTTCGGGACCCGCAGCTGTTGTTGCTGTGGCGAGTAAACCCGTTTGCATTTTTTAAGGTGAATTAATGCAAGTAAATCTCCGTGCCTCGTTCCTCCCCGAATCTCATCCATGTAGAAATCCAAGCCAAAGTTGCTGGCAAGGTCAGGGCTCAGAGCTAGTCCAAGATCTAATCTACAAAGCATACCCATTTCGGATGAGCCACGCCGTTTCTCCATCCAAGGGATCCGGAGGAAAAAGATTCCTCCTTTTCCTTTTTTCTTTTTTTTTTTTACATGACCTTGGAATACTTTTTTTTCCCCCTCCTCCACTCTATTGTTATATTATTAACCCTCTGATTGCTGATTAAGCTTTTTTTTGTTCGCTAGAGCACCAGATGGTAGTAGTGACACTGTTATTGGTTGACATTGTTTAGGGCACCCTGTGGTTTTTCTCAGGGAGATCACCTCCTGAAGAGGACATTAATCAATGCAGCCGTAAACCAACCGTTCTGATCTTTGAAAAGGTCACCTGATTGACTGTGTGCTTGGTGACAATCAGAGTGTCAGATCTGCTAAGAGCTTATTTATTCATTGAGATAAGTCCATGGAAAATTGCATGAAAACTCAGGAAATGTCCAGGTCGTATTTCACACCAAAATCAACAAAACAAATGTATATATTGCAAGTAGAAAAAGCAGCTTAATTTTAGAATGTTTTTGCATGTAGCATTATTTCATGACATTTAAGGGTGACAATTATATACATTTTTTAATAATATTTTTACACTATTTTTAGGCCTTTGTTAATCATCTGGGTTTTGTGTGTGTGTGTGTGTGTGTGTGTGTGCGCATAAAAACATTTGTGAGATTCTAGGATCTTTTTTCCCTTGTTTGTCTATTATGCGACCCTTTGATTTACAAATCTCACTGTAAAAAAGAAAAAGTAAAATGTTATCATTCCCATTTATTTTTTCTCTGAGAAATATAAGACATTTGTCTACTGGTATAAAAATAATGGCAATATTTTTTCTTCACTTGGTGCATCATCACTTTTTGAAGGCATTTTGAATCTATTTATGTTGTGATAACATACTGACATATATAAAGAGGTTAATCTGGGTCAATTATAATTGCCTATGGTGGTGCAGATGTAACATCACCCTCTGAAATGGCTGTTAAGATCTGTCTGCTGTTGTGGCCACTGTGCACCGGAGGGTTAAAATCATCACAGCATAAAAGAGGAGGGGAAGAGCTGTGTTTTCATAATGTTGTGAAATTAGTTTCTTCAGCATTTTAATGAATAAGTGGATACCTACTGTGAGACTGTTAGGGAGTCATGATTCACTTCAGACGGGTTCATTGTGTTCGTTATGTTGCCTATTGATTACTGTTAGTGTGGGCAGAGAGCACACTCAACACATGCCTGCCTCAATCAGGAACAATATAGATAAATGCTTATTTCCTCTTTCATTTCACATTGCTGAAAGCCTTCTCGGTTTATTTTTTTGTGGGTTGTATGTTGTTTTGGTCCCAATTATTATTATTTTTCTTTGTGGCACCAATTATTATTATTTTTTTATCTACTCATTGATATGAGTAGTAGAAAGATGAGAAGACAGGACGGTTTAGATGATTTAAACCCATTGCCTACATGAGCACCACAACTCAATCTTTTGGTGCACATGTGCTCACCACAAAGCCATGGTTCCAACATTATACCATGTCTCTGTGCTTTTCGTTCTCCTCGTCACTCCAAGTAGTACACTGCAAAATCTGGCTGTCATGATCATGAATTTTTGGCTAATGGTTTATGCAAATAAATTTAAAGGTGAGTTGCACTAGTACACCAACCTAAATTAAACGAAGTTTAATTGTCTAATCTTTTTATTATTTAATAAAAAAAAATGAGTAGTAGTAGTATTTTGAATTTTATTAATGATAAAAAATGAATGTAGTATTGTAAATACATTGCACTTGGTGTAATAATAGCCTATTAATATCATTATGTACTGTATATATAAAATAGCCTATATATGTTTTAATATAGTAATATAATTGGATATTACTATATATTACTGATACTTCTTGCCTAAAATCTTCTCTTTTATGCATAATTTTAAACCCACATGCCACCTTTTCACATAAAGCAAGATCTTTTGGTTTCTGTGTGTATCTGATTGTAGTTTTTGTTGATCTTCATATTTTTCATTTTTCGATTGCTGAAATGGAAGGAATCCCTCTTCTGTGTCACTGTTGCTAACTTTAATAACCTGTAATGGCCAAAAATATTTGCAATTAAGCAAATTTTAAAATGAAAATGAGTAGTGCTAGAGTAGCTTTCACAGTTGCACAATGGCTTGAACCATTATTGACCACTTTTACTTCAAACACAGTGAAACATTGTGATGGACGATGACATTGGGGGGTGGGGTTAGGGGGTGTGCCCGATGCGGGAATCCATTTGCAGAAAGGCACGGAAAACAAAGCGTTCTACGGAGCCACCAAAGGGATATGGTTAACCGCTTGCTAGCAGTAGACTGTTACATTACAGTACATGAAAGTTCACTTACCACATACACAGAGTAAGGAGAGATGACTGATAAGACAATGGTGAATGATTTGCAGACACTGAGCACCACTGACAAATACTAATCTTGTAAAATGTGTGGTAGGTATGGCCGCTCCATAGTATAGTCTGTGTGATCGTGAAAGTAAAATGAGAGCGTGTTGGTAGCGGCTCCCTGATGCCCGCAATTTATATACAGTATAATTACCCAACAATATAATTGCGGAGAGAAAGTATTGACTTTTTTTTATACTCCCATCTCGTAGGCTATTTATTCCCTTATAGGGGTTCCATAGTACACTTAATTTCCTTTCCGAACATGGAATTGGGATGCGGGGGGTATGGGGGGGGGATCAAGATGCCGGCTCAACATCGTGATGTCTGTCAGCCATCGGCGATGGATGATGGCATCGTCTATCGGCCCAACCCTAGTGCACAAGGTTTGTAATTTAGATCAAATCATCGTGATCAGATGATTATATACTAATCACAACAGGTTTTACTGCAAACAAGCCACAACTCTTACTCTGAACCTTTTCCAAAGCCTCAGCAAGTCAACCTACAATGGCTTTATGTAAACGGCACACATACGCACACATTGATTTGAGTCATGGTCTCTGCTAATGACACAAGCCCGTGTGGATGCTGTGGGGTCTGGAATCTCCCCGTTTCATCTCTCCAGCACATCTGAGTCAGTCTACTGATATTTGCTCCTGCGGTGGAGATGACATTTGTTTGAGAACTGCTGTCACCTTATCATGCAGACAAGAAGTGACTAAACATGTTGCGCTGCATAATACTGAAGCTGTCAATATATTTGGACTATCTATCTATCTATCTATCTAGAAATAATTACCTTTTATTTAGCATGGATGCAATACATTTTTAATATAAAAATATATTAAAATAGAAAGTGGTTATTTTAAATTGTAATAATATTTCATAAAATTACTGCTTTTACTGTATTTTATCAAATATGATATTTTTGATCTCATATGTTGGTGAACATATGAGACTTAAAGGGGTCATATGATGCGATTAAAATTTTTCCTTTCTCTTTGGAGTGTTACAAGCTCTTGGTGCATAAAGAAGATCTGTAAAGTTGCAAAGACAAGTCTCAAATCCAAAGAGATATTCTTTATAAAAGTTAAGAGTAAACTAAAACGGCTCGTTCTAACAGGCCCCCACCGTGGCACAGAGGAGAAACGATAATGTACAGTATGTGGAAAATAATGTGTTTTTTGAACTTTAAACCGCATAAACATTTCATTACACAAAATAATGTTATTTTTAGCTACATCATATGACCCCTTTAAAATAGGTATTTTAGGTAGCAGCGTGTAACAACGTTTGTAGGTCGGGAAGAAGGAGGCGGGAACCGGCGAACATTTAAACAAAACTTTAATAACATAAACAAACACAAAATGAAAGTAAAGCGACAGCCCCTCGCGGATGACTGCCACACACAATACTCAAAATAAAGTCCAGGCCTGGTCCTCTCTCGTCTTTCACTGTCGTAACTCCTCCTTTTATCCTTCCGGAGCGCCTCCGTGGGACTCGAGACCGTTGAGTGGTGCAGGTGTCGCTCATTATCAGTTACTCCACCGGCCTCTCTCCATTCCCACGGCTCTCGGCCCCGCCCCCACTCGTCACACAGCATAAGTTACTAACCTTTTGAAACAGCCTTGTCTTTCTTGATTATGTATTATGTAGTATACAGGCCAGGAGACTCATCATTCAGTTTTCAGGTTCCAGGTTTAAATGTTCATTTTGGTGACTCATACATACAGTATCTCATACAACAATTATGAAGTATTGATGTGTTCATTGATTGTCTAGGTTGCACATAGTCTTCCAGTATGCAGTGATTGCTTGAGCTTTGTTTGAGGCAGTTCTGTTGTCTTGCGGTTCACTACGTTTACTCTGCTGTGATCAGAAATTCCATTTACCCTCCGACACTTCTGGAAACCTTGTTTTTTCCCCAGAGCGCCTCTGCCAGTCACAAAATCTCTTTAGCTTTCCACAGTGATGACAAGTTCAGAGGACAAAACCACAGCACCTGCCCCCTCTTTCACACACACACACACACTCACACTAACTAATATAGGAAAGCCTCACCATGAGCACTGATTTTCAATCTTCGGTCATCACTACTGTGGTAGAAACGGTGCCAGGTTTTTGTCGACATATGTATGTTAAGATTACATGTTTGTGGATGGTGAAGTTATTAGTTATCAGCATGATGATCAAATTCATTATGCAGTTCTACTCATAAGTATTTAAATGACTTGTAGATTTTTATTTTTTCTTTACTATTTATATAAAATAATAGGAATAATTTTTGTTAGTATTTAGTTTATTTATTACTACTGGCGCAAAATGTAAAATCATACACAGTCTTACCCTATCTAAATATTTTGAGAGAAAGAAACCTACCTACCTACCCGTTTATTTATTTAAATGTGGGTATGACAACTTATGAGCACAACTGTATATATTTCAGTTTTCCAGTGTTTTAAAATGATAAACAGCAAGTGGTAGCAGTCCACTGGAATAAAAATAATTGCACAGGTTGTTCTCTTTCAACAGATAATGATCTTCCCTTGAGGCTGTGATTGTGAGAATCTTTTCTCCTCTCTGTGAAATATGCTCATGCG